GGAGCCCGATGCGGGACTCGATCCCAGGACCCTGGGATCATGACCTGAGCCGAAGGCAGACGCTTAACGACTGAGCCACCCAGGCGCCCTGTCATTAATTTAGTTTTGAAAATCAGGCTCTGTCCCTTCTTTCCCCTAAAACCAAAAGCATGATTTGACTTAGCAGTTGGATACCTTAGTCCTGAGGTGGGCATTTGGAGTCTCATCAGCACAGGGACAGTGGGACTGTAGGGGTGGCTGATGGTGTGGCTGCTGTTGGCCTGGTGACTGTATTTCTTCTCTTTGGCTTTGGTGTCTCCCCAGGTTGTCCTGGAATCCCAGCAACGGTTTGAGGAAAGGCGGAGTGACCTGGCGTCTCGTGCGGCCAACGGGGAGGTGGTGTCCCTTCGAGGGGGACCTGCCCCCCTGAGAAAGGCTGAGGGCTGGCTCCCGCTGTCAGGAAGTCCGGGGCAGAGTGAAGACTCGGACCCCCTCCTCCAGCAGATCCACAACATCACATCATTTATTAGGCAGGCCAAGGCTGCCGGGCGGACAGACGAAGTGCGCACACTGCAGGAAAACCTGCGGCAGTTGCAGGATGAGTATGACCAGCAGCAGACGGAGAAGGCCATTGAGCTGTCCCGGAGGCAGGCCGAGGAGGAGGACCTGCAGCGAGAACAGCTGCAGAGGCTTTGTGAACGGGAGTGGGAACGAGAGAGGGAGCAATTCCGGGCCGCGTCCCTACATACACGGACTCGGTCCCTGGACTTCCGAGAAATCAGGCCTTTTCACCTGGAGCCTGGCAGGGAGCCTCGTACCCACCTTGCTTGTGCTTTGGATCTAGGCTCTTCCTCAGTTCAGAGCAGTGCAGCTGCGGAGCCCCCTGCGCCCAGCTCAGCTCTCGAGCCAGCCAGAGTGTGGTCTGGACCCCCAGCCCTCGGCCAGGAATTCTTCCCCCAGAGCATGATTTCACAGCAAAATGAGCTGGCCTCCCTAAACCCCTTCTATGAGGAAGACCCCTCCAGCCCCACAGCAGGGGGCACTACCAGCCCTCCTGCCGCAGAGCATTCCTTTGGCCCTTCAGTCTCCATCCTCAAAGAATACAATCCTTTTGAGGAAGAAGAAGAGGAGGCCGTCGCAGGGAATCCCTTTACTAACACAGATAGTCCAGCGCCCAACCCCTTTGATGAGGAAGATGAGCATCCCCACCAGAGGCCCTCAAGCCCTCCTGTTCCTGGTAACCCCTTTGAGGAAGCCACCTGTACCAACCCCTTTGAGATGGACAGTGACAGTGGGCCAGAGGGCGAGGAGCCCATAGAGGAGGAGCTCCTCCTCCAGCAGATTGATAACATCAAGGCGTACATTTTTGATGCCAAGCAGTGTGGCCGCCTGGATGAGGTGGAAGTGCTGACAGAGAACCTGAGGGAGCTGAAGCGCACCCTGGCCAAACAGAAGGGGGGCACCGACTGACCCCACTGACTGTGGACGGGGCATCTTTGGGCCCAGGGCCTGGCAGGAGCCTGTGGAGCAGGACAGGGCTGGTGGGCCCGATGGGGAAGGAGGAAGGGTGACAACTAAGATGCACACAGGTTAGGGCAGGGAATCTGCTGTTTCATGCTGTGCACTTGGAGGTTTTTCCACTACAGTTGAATAATAAAGTGGAAACCAGAACAGGAAGAATCAGCATTCATTTGCTGTATTTCCTGGGGTTTTTAAAAAATATTTTTTGTTTTTGTTTTTTTGAATCGGGTTTTCCCTTTAGAAGGGATTTTAAATTTTCATTACTGAGTAGAACTAAAGGCAGTTCTCTTGGGCAGCCCTCGTGGGTCCACTTGCTCCTGCCTAGTCTTTGGTCTTGATGCAGTATTATAGGGCACTTTCTTTGGCCAAGACAGACTCGATGGATTCCTTTAAACCTTACTCTGGTCTGACAGAAGTCTGTCCCCCTAGGCTGTGGGTTCTTTCACCTGGGGCTTCCTCTACCCTGCTGGGTACATCCCACCTGTGCGGCAGAAGGGGGAGCTACTGCTATGAAGCCAGTAGTTTAGACCCAGGAGAGCCCAGCACCTCTTTTTAAGAGGGGGTGATGGGGGGGTGATGTTTTACCAGGGCATTTCCCTGTCAGTTTAAGTCCTTGTTTGTCTCTTTCAGGAGGCTAAACTTCAGTGCAGGGGGATCACTGGGTCTGACCATGGTCTATTTAGAAAATAGGAGTGGTGAACTTTTCGGATGACGGAGGCAGTAGTATTTGGGAGCAGAGTTGTCTACCCAAATGTTGCTCTGAATGACTGATGGAACAATTGCTGTCCCCAGCAAAACCTCCCTCTAGAACTTTGGTGAAATTACTCTGACTTGGGCTTTTTCAGAGGGCCCAGTCTATAATTTAGGATTGGTAATCAGGAAGCTTTTGTGGAACATTGCCAGGAGAATGGAAGCTTCCCTGAGTCAGAAGATAAATTAAAATGATTTTCAGGGCTAGTTGATCAGCCTTCTTCCCTTTTGGTTCATCCTGTCCTGACCGGGGGCACCGGTGGGGTATTTTCCTACCAATGTTTAGTATTAAGAAACGGAAGTGTTTGAAGAGGCACAATCCAGGATCATTCCAGTAGCACCGCAGTACTTGAACTCTTCATCAATTAAGGGCAAAAAGGGAAATTGTTAATTTAGCTCTGGTGCTTTGGTTTACATAATCCTTAACTGATGTCTGACATCATGATACTCAAGTGTGCTCAGCTCTAGGTAGAGTTCCTGCAATTAGGCGTTTCTGATTAAAGAACAATAACTGACCACTAGTCACTTTATACCCCTTAACTAACTATGGGTCATCCTTTCACTGATTACTGGTGTGAGAGCTGAGATTCATTTTGTTACCTTCTGGGAAGACCCCTGTTGGTCTTGAGAATGTTTGAAGAACTGTGGTGTAAAGGTAGTCTGTATTTTTGTTGACACTATTCACATTTCTTTGGCATCTGTTGGATCTTTGGGCTGAATGAAAAGATTTTGCATAGGGGTGTGGGAATGGGATATGGGTGGAGGGTGTGTGGAGGATGCTTTGCGTTGGGGTTCTGTTCACAAAGGAATATGAGTGGATTACTAATGTCAACCAAGTTCCCAGCCTTGTTGATTATTGTGGTTGGGAAGTTGACAACCAGGTATCTAAAGTATTGCCTGGTAAGGCATCTTTCTTCCTTCTCATGCCCTTCCTGCTGTCGTTGTGGAGGGTTTCGTGGCTGGCTGGTATGCTTCCTACTGCTAGTCTGTCATTGCTCTCTGATCGAAGAGGATGACACTCTGCACCAAAAAGCAGGTAGTTCCGGAAGCTAAATGCTGCTTTCCATCATAAATACTTTTCTCATGAGAATATATCTCTTCATTAGCTAGTGATTTCAATTCAGACTAATTTACTGAACATACCTTTTCCTGAAGTCAACCCAGGTAGCAATCTGTAAGTAACTAAGAGCATTAAGAACCACACATATAAGAAACATTATTTTTAAACTTAAAACAAAAAACACTGAATATACTAAACCAAACTAAAACCTTCTGATGTGATTGAATTCTTCCATGGGTGTATTCTTCCATGAATTCTTCCATTTAATTCTTCCATAGCTATATTCTCCTATAGTCATAGGCCTGACCGGAATTAGAATTCTCTATCCCTAACATTTCCCAGAATTCACACAGCACAAAGTTGGATTTACAGAGATGGGTTATCGTCAGGGTAGATAAAGATGGCCTATGAATTGCAGCCACAGCTTCAAGTGCTTACCTGATGTGAATATTTCACTCTTCCTGCAGTCCTTCAAGGCAAACAGCTCCATCTCACGAGAAAATGAGCAAGTTCTTGATGCAGCATTGGCAAATATCCCTAGGCCTAGATCATGTATGGAAGAGACTTTGGGAATTCAGGCATCAAATGAAGTTGGCTTTTCTTTTTTACGCCTTGTTTGTATTTTTCCATGTCTAATACACTAAGGACACTTACTCATTGTACTTGCAGCTCAATGTGTCTTTGCTGTTTGGATACTAAAGTGTACTTCTGAGTCATCATGTACCAGGTGGTAGGTTGGACATAAATTGGCATAATTAGGCCTTGGTACTCAAAGAGAGAAGCTGGTCTCTTTACCAGGTCACAGACTATCGAAGCAGATTGTACTGGTCATCTGACAACGACAGCTTGAGGGTCATTGTTTGCATGCACTACTCTGGGGCCTTGTATTGGAACCTTTTTTAAAAAATAAACTAACATGTTAGTGGTTGGGTGTATGTGTGTGTATGTGCATGTGTGTTGAAAGAGAATTACCAGATAACATCTCTGGCCCCTCCCTTTCTTGATTATCATCTGAATATCAGAAGATAGCCCCAGCTCCTATGTTAACTGTGTGGTTAAGGCCTCTGGACAAAAGGTCACTAGGCTGTTAATGGGGTAAATGTGGGTTCCACTTCTGCCCTTATCCCCAGTTATTCCTGCAGTGTTGATCAGATGAATTGTTTCACACCAGAGTAGTGCAAGACCTTTTAACGATCCTATAAACCTCATTTCAGGCTAGAAGAAACTGAGGCTCAGAGAGGTTGAGGAACCTTACAGCTGCCATTTGTGCGAGGCTGTGCGACCTTTTCACATATTCCCCTTTTGGCTCTGCCAGCAGGCCTGTGCGGTAGTTACTCGGGTATTTATCTGGCAGATAAACAGGTTGAGAGAGGTTAGCCTGGCAGGGGGTCACACAGCCTGTCAGTGGTAGAATAAGGATTTAAAGCCTGGGCTGCCTGACTCGCTTTGCCCTAAGTAGCAAGAGGGGTTCCACCTGGGTCAGGCACAGCGGGAGTGCCCAAGCACTGTGGCCTGTGTTGTATATGGACACTCATGTTTCTAATGTGGGAAGGGACATTTCATCCATAGGAAGTGCCTTCTGTGGACTTTAAGATCAAAACTTCTGCCTGAAACTCTTCAGCAGCCTAGCACAGTTTTTAAAATATTTCAGAGAGGGAAATAAACACCCCAATAAAGAAAGGACTTCTGGTTTCAGGTCAGGCACACAAGGAGTTTTGAAGTTGTCACTCCTGTCCTTACATCAAGAGAAAGCTGGACAAAGAAAATCAATGATTCTCCTTGCATGCATCAGAGAACTGAGTGCAGGGCAAACTGCTGCCTTGAAATCTGGAGAGTCACCTGGAGCAGAAGCCACTGGAGCCATAGCTGGTAGGAACACTGTTGGAATGTGGGAGGCTGAGTGTGGACCAGCACTGGATAGTAAGGAACTCCTGGGGGCCACAGCCCAAGGGACACCACACACCTTTATGGTTTTACCTCCAGGAACCCCACCTGGTTTTCACAGCTAATTGCTGAGAAAGATTCCCTGGTGGCTCTGGCAGGGGAAGGGGAAGAGTAATCTTTGTAAAATAAACTCAGCATTCCTCAGGGGAAAAGACTGTACCAGAGTCTAATCCTACCCAGGGAAGGACGTTTCTGAGCTGAAACCAACAGTGGGACGCTTAACTGACTGCACCACCCAGATGCCCCAACTCACACACGTTGGCACTAAATGTATATGGGGTTTTCCCACACCAACCAATTCTTTGACACCAGCTGGGTGTCCTACAAATTCAACTCTGTTCTGACACTATCTGGAGTTAGCATCTGATCCCACACATTAAGGGCTCAGCGCCACAAGACTGCCCCCTACTTCAGATGCCAATGACAAGTGTAAGTCTCTGGTACTTCTAGCTCACAGGCTATAAGCCAGGGTTCCCACAAGCCTCTCCTTGAGTTTGATAATTTGCTATAATGGCTTGCTAGATTACTGGTTAATTATAAAAGAATACAATTTAGGAACAACTAGATAGAAGAGATGCATAGGGCAAGATACAGAATAAGGGGCATAGAGCTTCCATGCCCTCTGCACCACTCTCCCTGCACTATCACTGATGTGTTCATCCTCCTAGAAGCTCTCCCAACCCCTTTGGTTAGGGTATTTTTTAAAAAAGATTTTATTTATTAGAGAGAGAGAGAACAAGCAGGGGTGCAGCAGAGGGAGGGGGAGAAGCAGGCTCTCTGCTGAGCAAGGAGCCCGATGCGGGACTCAATCCTAGGACTCTGGGACCATGACCTGAGCCGAAGGCGGATGCTTAACCGACTGGCTGAGCCACCCAGATGCCCATGGTTAGGGTATTTTTAATGGAGGCTTCATTACATAGGCATGATTGATTAAAATCATTGGCCATTTGTGATTAACTCAACCTCCAGCCCCTTTCCCCTCCCCAGAGGTTAGGGGGCTGGGGCTGAAAATTCCAACTAATCATCTGTGGCAACCAAACGCCCATCCTTAGGGGGTTTCCAAAAGCCCCCTCATTTGCATTAACTGGTGTGGTTAAAAGGGGCTTATTATGATAACAAAAGATGCTCTTTTCATCTTTATCTCTCCAGAGCTAATTCAGGAACAGGGACAAAACCCAGATATTATGACAAAAAATGCTCCCGGGGGCACCTGGCTAGCTCAGTCAGTGGAGGATGTGAGTCTTGATCTCGGGGTTGTGAGTTTCAGCCCACGTTGGGTATAGAGATTACTTAAAAATAAAATCTTAAAGAAATAAAAGATGCTCCTATATTATCATTAGGGAAATTACAAGGGTTTCATGAGTCAGGAAGAAAGACCACAAATATATATATATATATAAAAATTATTTATTTATTATAATATCACAGAATGAGATTAAGAATATTTATTTATTTATTTATTATAATATCAGAGAATGAGATTAAGAATACCAGGGGTGCCTGGGTGGCTCAGTCGGTTAAGCCGCTGCCTTCGGCTCAGGTCATGATCCCTGGGTCCTGGGATCGAGCTCCGCATTGGGCTCCCTGCTCGGCGGAGAGCCTGCTTCTCCCTCTCCCTCTGTCTACCGCTCTGCCTGCTTGTGCTCTCTATCTCTGTTAAAATAAATAAATAAAAATCTTAAAAAAAAAAAAGAAAGAAATACTTGTGAAGGTCATAGCCCAAAGACACAGGCCCACTAAATACTGAGATTTCATCAGATTATAGAATGCTTCCCACCCACCCCCCCCACACACACCTTACCACCACAAAGACACTAGAGGAATTTGAAGCCTCTGGACCTAGAGCTACAGCAAACATTAAACACAACTCAGCTCCTAGCCAGATTAACATAAATCCTCATTCTAGAGGTTCATTTACTTAAGTTCCTATTATCCAATACAGCCAATATTGTTGGGCCTTCAGCAAAAAATTTTAAGCATGCTAAAAGGCAATTAAAAAAAAAAACACAGTTGATGAGACACAGCAAGCATCAGATTTCTATGACACAGATGTTGGAATTATCAGGAAATTTAAAATAACTGATAAATATATTAAAGAGTCTCAAGATAAAAAATAGTATGCAAGAACATATGGGTAATGTAAGTAGAGATAAGAAAACTCTTAGAAATAGTCAACAGGAAATGTTAGCAAATCAAAAACACTAACAAATGAAGAATACCTTTAAAGGGCTCATCAGCCAACTGGACACAACTGCGGAAAGAATCAGTGAGCTTGAAGATAGGTCAATAGAAACTTCCCTAACTGAAATGCTGAGAGAAAAGAATGAAAAACAAACCCAGAACAAAATATCCGAAAACAATGTGACAATTTCAGAAGATGTAATATATGTAACTGGAACACCAGAAGAAAAAAAAGAATGAAGGGAGAAGAAATATTTGAGGTAATGATGGCTGAGAACCTTCCAAAATTAATGACAGATCCTGGAAGCTCAGAGTAGGATCAATATCAAGTAGGATAAATATCAAATGTCTATACATAGGTATATCTTTTTTTTAAGATTATTTGAGAGAGGGGAGGGGAGTGGGAGGATGGGTTAGCCTGGTGATGGGTATTAAAGAGGGCACGTTCTGCATGGAGCACTGGGTGTTACACACAATGAATCATGGAACATTGCATCAAAAACTAATGATGTAATGTATGGTGACTAACATAACATAATAAAATAAAAAAAAAGATTATTTGAGAGAAAGAGTGCTTGGGGGAGGGGCAGAGGAAGAGGGGACTCTCAAGCAGACTCCCTGCTGAGAACCAAGCCCCACTCAGGGTTGAGATATCTGGACCCTGAGATGGTGACCTCAGCGGAAACCAAGAGGCTGAGGCTTAACATTCCCGGCCACCCAGGCGCCCCATCTGTATGTAGGTATATCTTATTCAAACTGCATAAACCAGAGAAAATCTTGAAAGAAGCCAGAAGAAGAAAAAATCTTACAGAAAAGACAAAGAATTATAGCTGACTACTCCTCAGGAACATTCAAGAAAAGTGGAGTAAAATATTTAAAGCATTGAAAGAAAACCCCCATTCACCTAGAATTCTATATCTGGCAAAATTATCCTTCAAAAGTGAAGAAGTATAAACTTTCTTAGATCAGTAAGCATACTTCAGAAATGCATCTCATCCACCTTTCACTTACGAACAAATTGTGGTCCAGAGCTGTTAAGTGGGTGAACCAGGAAGGGGTAGTTTCCAAACTTGCCTTTCCCCCCCCACCCTTTTGCAAATCAGTTTTTATAGTAAATGTTAGAAATTGTGCACTTGGAACACTTCATTTTGAATCCGGAGAAGTTGAGAGAGAAAAACTGACTTATTTGGGCGCCTGGGTGGCTCAGTCGTTGAGCATCTGCCTTCGGCTCAGGTCATGATCCCAGAGTCCTGGGATGGAGCCCCGCATCGGGCTCCCTGCTCAGTGGGGAGCCTGCTTCTCCCTCTCCCACTCCCCCTGCTTGTGTTCCCTCTCTCGCTGTCTCTCTGTCAAATAAGTAAATAAAAATCTTAAAAAAAAAAAGAAAAAGAAAAACTTGAGGTTGAAGAGCAAGTTAGTAGCCCACTTGGCATCTGAACGCAGCTCTTCTTGATTTATTTCCAACTGTAATTCTGTTGTTTGACTGAGTTTGAGTCTATTTAAAAATATTTTCCCTTGCGGGGTGGGGGTGGGGAGAGGCTAATTTACAGAGTGTGAAAAGCATAAGTTCCGGGTGGGTGTTCTAAAGCGAAGGTGTACTAGCGGGATCCCCGCCCCAAACCCTAAGCCAACGCTGGCCGGGACTACAAGTTCCAAGCTGCTCCCCGGCGCGCGCGCGCGCTGCCCGCCGGGAGGCGTCTCCTGTGCGTCTGCGCGGGAAGTGGAAACCAGCGAGGAGGGGAAGCGGTGTGAGGTTCGTCGGGCCAGCAGCGTCGGCTGCTTTGGGTCTGTCCTCGCGGCTAAGCTCGCGGCCCGACCCCTCCGCCGCCATGCCCATGAAGGGCCGCTTCCCGATCCGCCGCACCCTCCAGTACCTGGGCCAGGGAGACGTAGTGTTCAAGGACTCAGTGAAGGTCATGACGGTGAACTACAACACGCACGGGGAGCTGGGCGAGGGCGCCAGGTCAGTCGGAGCCCTTTGAGGCCGCCCCCAGGCCGCGCGGACGTACCCTGCTCGCTGTAATGACGTGCTAGTAACGCTGAGACCTGGAGCTGCTCTGGGTGCTACTTAATCCCGAGGCTGGCCTCCTGAGCTGGGTGCCATTGGCCCCATTTTACAGACGAGGAGACTGAGGACAGCAGGGCCGCGCTGTGCCAGGGGCAGTCGTGACTGAGGTCGGGGAGCGGAGGACAAGGGTCCCCCACCCCTTCCCCTACCTCCCCGCTGGAGGACTAGGCTAACCCGGGGAGGCCGGAGTCTCCTTAACTACCTGTGCCTGGCCGGCGAGCAGTGGGGAGCAGCGGCGCACGTTCTGCTCTGGATGGAGCCAAGCCCAGAGGCCACAGACCCTGTTTAGGTCCCAGCTCTAACAACTGCTGGCTTTGGGCGAGTTGCTCCTTATTGTCCCAAACTGGCATGATACCTATGTCCAGAGCCGCTGTGGGATGTAGTGAAAGAAGTAACAGCTGCTAGCACTTACTGAGCCCTTCTGTGTGCGGCGTGCTTCTGAATGTTTGTCATGCATTGTCTCATTTGATGTTTATAGAAGCCCCATGGTTATCCCTATTCTAGGGATGAAGAAACGCACAGAGATGTTAGTAACTTGCTTGCCCAGGGCACCACGCTGGCTGGTGAGTGGTGGTGAGCCGTAGCTGTGAACGTGCTTCTCCGCTGCAGGACTTGTCCCTCTCATAATTGATTATGTCAGCTGTGTAGCCCCAGGCTCCATACCCCCACCGCCGCCCCCACCTTAAACTCCTTGGGGTGGCTTTTCAGCATGGAGCAGAGTGAGAGCTCCTTAAATGGAAGCTTAGAAAAGAAGTGTTTGAATTGAACCTTGAGGCAGCAGCAGTGCTTTGGGCTTTTCAGGTATTAAGTATAAATTTACTGATTGCCTACTGAATGCTTGGCCCCATGCTGTGAGCTGGGGATTCAACAGTGCCTAAGAAGAAGTCTTGTCCTTCAGAAGCTTTGGGACTGGGTGTATGGGGTGGATCAAAATGGGCTGGGGAAGTGCTCCCAGTAGGGTATGGTCCCCCACTGGTGAGGGGCTTTTGCTGCACAGCTGTTCAGGATAGCCAGAAGCTACCTCCTAGCTATTTGTTGTCCACAGGTGAAGCCAAAAACTTGTAGCTGCTTGCATGGGAACAGGTGGGCTGATGGCTTCTGGAAGACCTGGGTCTAGGGGTGAATGGGCACCCGGATACTCCTTCATAACTCACTGTGCATCCCATCCGTCCACGCTAGGAATCAGCAGAGGTGGGGCAGTACCAGAAAGGAGGGAAGCAGTCTGGATGGGCCCGCTCAGATTGGGAAAATGTGCCCTGTCACCCAGGGGCCATTCACTGCTTGGCTACGGCTTAGCCATGTGGGCCCACGGAGAATTTCTGACTTGTCAAGAAGCCAGAAATTCAGATTTTTATATAAATCTCTGGTTTTTTAAATGATCAGTCTATCAGAATAGACCTGCAGGCCTTATACTTGCAGTTCAAGTATTTTAATACCCTGTAGGTAAGTAAGAGCCAAACAGCCATTCTGTGCTTCATTGTTCCGAATGGTAAGAGCCTGTGTATGCCCTTGTGGATTTCGTGCCCTTGGGTTTGAGTCTACTGGACTTGCCCTTTCCAGCCCCACCGGCCTTTGCTTGTTCATATACCCTTAGCATTTCAGTTGTCCCTCCCTGGATCACCTCCATTCCAAGTACACCAGTATACTTCCCCAGGCCAGCCATAGTCTCGGGTGTCTGCTGGGTGTGTGGGGAGCTGCCTTAGTGTCTGAGGGCTAAGTCCCTGCTCACCTTTGCCAGATGTTCTTGCCTTTCAGGTGCAATAAAAAAATAACAGCTGCTAGCATTTTTTGAGTTCTCTGTCCATCCTGAGCCTCAGGATCTAGGTGAATTTGGTAATTTGATGGTGACAGAAGAGTGGCTGAGGTCCAGCTGCACACAGCCCTCTTCTTTCATTTACTGGTTGCGTGACCTAGGGCAGTTTACTTTTCTGACCTGTTTGCTTAGTTATAAAACCCCACCTTGCAGGGTCATTGTGAGGATTCAAGTATTAAAATGCCTAAGGTGTCTGGCATGTACAGCAGGTGCTCAACTAAAGGTTACCTACCATTATCAACTTTGTTCTCAGGTTTCACAAACCGTTTACATCTTCCTGTCGGGGGGCACCTGGGTGGCTCATTTGGTTAAGTGTCTGACTCTTGATTTTGGCTCAGGTCATGAGATGGAGGCCTACGTTGGGCTTCATGCTCAGCAGGGAGTCTCCCCGAGATTCTCTCTCCCTCTACCCCTCCCCACTGTGTGCTTTCTCTCTCTCTCTCTCAAATAAATAAATAAATCTTTTAAAAACAAAAAAACAACACAAACAAATTCCTGTTGAGTTTTTGCCCTAGTAGTTCTAGATGTGAGCAATTCCTGCATGGATATGCCCTGGTTTCTTTGTACGATGTTGAGATCCTCTGCTGTGGGGTGGTAATTGAGCAGAGACGTCATAAGCCCAGGAAGGTAAATTCAGCTTTGGAGCTTCGAGCCTTGTGTGCTGTCGTGATGCAAGGCATATAGTAGGACCTTACCTCCACTGCCTCCCCTAGAGGCAACAACTTCTACAACTCTAACCATTTCATTAGCGTTTCCCTTGCATAGTTAAATACCATACTTGGAGAGCTGTTTCTTCCTTTTCTAGGTTTAGGCTTTATCTGTTGTCTTGCCACTATGGAAGATGAGAATTTAGCTCTTTCCCCACTATTGCCATTCCCCAACCCAACACATGCATATTACTCAGCTCTTCATCCTCCCAGGATAGTCATTTCAGAGCTTTGGCTAGAAGAATATTCAATGTTTAAATTAATACGACTGTGAACACTGTACACAGTTGGACCAATTAGAGTACTATGATTATTTTTTCCTTTTTGTTTTTGCAAAGCTTTTTGTTTTCCCTGGAGTTAATAATTGTCCTTGCTTTTGCTTTGTTTTGCTTGCAGATTCTGCCCCGGTTATGGAAGTCTCCCCAAGTAAATGGTCACACAGTCGCCTTCTGTTGATTCTATCAATTCATCTTAAAAACGGTTTACAAGCTCCACTATGGACTGGTTGTCCTGCATTGCCAGCATCTTGGTATAAACATTGAGGCACAGAGCAGTAACTTGTCCTGGCTCAGACAGCTGAGAAGTGGTAAAGCTGGGTGACTGTGTTACTGTCCCATGTATCACTCGCACCTGTCTGTCCTCTGATGTGGGGCAGGGTCGCAGGAGGAAGGAGAGGGCACATTTAAATTAGGATCATTTGGGGAGCCTTTAATTAAGGGACTATTTACAGAGGTATGGGCAAGGATGGGGAAAAGAAACCATAAGGGACCGTGCAGGACCTCAGGTCTAGGCTTGCAGAAGTGATGGGGAGAGGGCTGCCTGACAGGAGCCTGGGACTCAGCCAGGAGATGAGTCAGGGAAAGAATACTTTGACTCTGCCCTCTCCTTTCAGTCTTGCCAGCACTCATTGTTGGCCAAACCCAACATGAAGTCAGAGGTCAAGGAAGCCCACCTCATAGCCCATGTAGGTTAGCACTTTAGGATGGAGAGCAGGTGGAGAGGGATCCAGACATGTAGCTGTGTCCTAATTAGTCCTCTCTCGAAGGACGTTTGTTGTTTCTGTTCCTTTGCTGTAACAAATAATGTCTTTGCAGTCAGGTGTAAAAATGTCTAAAAGCAGTGAAATCACTGTCAAGATCTATGCTTTCTATATTTTGCTAGTTCCAAATTGACCTCCAAAGAGGTTAAACCAATTCTTAAGGAAGTGTATCCTGATTTCTGTAACTTCTTTTTGTTGTTTTTTTTTAATCTTTAGCAATCTAACAGGTGGAAAAGAATCCTATTTTAACTTACATGACTATTGGGAAGGTATTGAGAATCTCTTCATAAGATGATAGGCTCTTTGGGTTTCTGCCTGTTTGTGGCTTTTGTGGCTGAACTGTAAAACATTTTTTTTTAAGATTTTATTTATTTATTTATTTGAGAGAAAGAGAGTGTGTGCGTTTGGGTGAGTGCATGGGGGCAGAGGGGAAGGGAGAGAATCCCAAGCAGACTCTGTGCTGAGCGTGGAGCCCGATGTGGGGTTCGATCCCATGACCCTGAGATCATGATGTGAGCCGAAATCAAGAGTTGGACAGTTAACCGACTGAGCCACCCAGGCGCCCCTGGATTGTAAATCTTAATGATGTGTAAAACTTTACCAAAGGAATTAGCCTTTTTGTTTTATGTTTTACAAACATTTTTCTTCTGATTTGGCAAATGTTGATTTTGTTTCTGGTAAATTTTGCCATATAAAAGTTATAAGGTGGTCTATTTATCTGTGTTTTAAACCTAAGTTTAAAGGTATTCTCCATGTTTGCTTTCATTTATTTTAAAATTATGGTACAATTTACATGAAGTATACAGCTTGATGAGCTTCTGCTTAGGAATGAATACATCTGTCTAACCAGCACCCAAGATCTGGGACATTTCATAGTTTTATGTTTACATTTATTCTTCTGCTCAGTGAGTTTTAGGTTAGTGTGCAGTGTGAGGTAGGGGTACAGATGTCTTTTCCCTCAAATGACAAGCCACAAGTCCTGACACCCACTGTTCAGAGAATATACTAATAAATTCCTGACGGCTGCTTTTCTCAGCCTTTTTGTGGGGCAGGGTCCCCTGAGAATTGGATGAAAGTTCTGGACTATCTCCTTCAAAAAATAAACAGGTGCACAGCATTTCAAATTAACTCTGTTTCACAGGTTTAATTTCTTCCCTTTTGCAGGAAGTTTGTGTTTTTCAACATACCTCAGATCCAGTACAAAAATCCTTGGGTACAGATTATGATGTTTAAGAACATGACGCCGTCCCCCTTCCTGCGGTTCTATTTGGGTGAGTGTGGCCTCTGCCAAGGCCGGGAGGGTCTTTCTTCCCATCCCTTCCTCCCACCATAGTGCTTGGGGGATCTGAGCTATGAGCTTTTGTAAACGTCCCTTACTTCCATCACTGGCCTTGTTTTTTTTTTCTTTTTTTAAAGATTTTATTTATTTATCTGACAGAGAGACACAGTGAGAGAGGGAACACAAGCAGGGGAGTGGGAGAGGGAGAAGCAGGCTT